TTTCTCTCTACAAAGTTCTCGAATTTCTCCCCGATTTCTCTTTCATTTGCTTACAAAAATTCCATAGACATGCTTGCCAATGCGTGATTTTCCAATCAAATGGAATTTTGAGGGGTGACATTTGGATTTTTCATTGGGATTTTTAATCATCAACTCATTGAGTTGAAGTTGAAGCAGGGAAATGCTAGAGGAAATGGAGAATTCCGTCAATGGCGGTTTCTTACAGTTGTAGAGCTATGGGGATAGTAGTGAGGAGGAGCTGTCGGGGCGACCACATCACACTAAAACCAAGTCTTTGAGAACCTAGATTTGGGTTTGAGAAAACCCAAATCTGGGTTAAGTTTGGTAAGGAAGGAAAAAACGAAGAAGAAGGGAGAAGAGAAAGAAAAAGAATAAGAAGAAGAAAGACCCTAGATCTTCGAGCAAAGATTAGGCAAAATCACAAGTGTTCTAATGCAACTATTGTTGCTGGTGCAGAAGGAGTGCATAAGGAGAGCCAAAAGGAAGGGGAAGCTGTTGTTGAAGCTGGGTTGAGAGAACCCAAATTTGGGTTTGAGAAAGCCCAAATCTAGAGAGGAAGAAGAACAGAAAAGAGAGAAGAGAGAGAGAAAGAATAAGAAGAAGAAAGAAGAAGGATGACTAGAGAAAGGAAGGAAGAAGGTTGATAAGGAAATGAAAAGGCCAACTGTTTGAAGAATTAAGAAAGACAGAGAGGAAAGGGCAAAGAAGATGAATTTTTTTTTATAAGGTTAAAAAAAATTGTGAAATAAGGATAAAAAAATCAAATTATAAATAAATAAAAAAACATTTTAACTTAGACGTCATTTAAAAAAAACACCATGTGGGTAAGTTAAAAAAATGCCACGGAGACAAAATTTTCTTTGTTGGATGTACACGTCATTAAGATTAAAAAAATCCAATGATTTTGTGGCAGTTTAACTACCACCTATCCATTTAACTTACAGAAGGACCATTTTGGTACCGAAAATGAAAGTTTAAGGATAATTTTGGTATTTTTTAAAGTTGAGGGATAATTTTGATGCCAAAGTGAAAAGTTAAGGGACCAAAATGGTATTTAAACCTAAATTTTGAATTTATTAATAAGTAAATATTGATATTATAAATTAAGTTTTGAATTCAAATTTTACAATTAATACGTAAAAAATTTATCAACAACCTATTAATTTGAGTGGAAGCAGTTCAATTCTTTTTTAAAAAATACATAAAAAATTTAATTTCTTTAAATATATCATATTAATATAAAGATAAACTCTCAAAAGTCCGAAGGGAAGGAACTTGATTTCCTTTGAATAAAATCTCAAATTAGAGTTTTATAAATAAATAAATTGGTGCTAAGAGAGTTCCTCCCATATGGAATCAATTCAATTACAGATTAATCGAGATTTAATATAATTATCAAATACCAAAAAGATAATAAAAAAAAACTCTTAAAATTTTTCAAAAAGTGATTGATATTAAAATATTTTAAAACTTATTTAAAATTTGAGTTAGTGCTTATTCGTCTTATCTCAAAAAAATTAAGAGGAAAAATGATAAAAAAAAACACCCTAATTCATATTTTAAAAATAAGATATTTTAATCTTTTTCAATCAATGTTTATTAAAAAGACTTAATTTTAAAATAATATTTTTCTTAATATTTAAGAGGTAAGATGGATAAGTATTACTCCTTTTAAAATTATTTTACCTATAAATTAAAAAAAAAAATATATATATATATATATATATATATATATTCGACGGAACGGTTCCTTCAATTATCAATCTTATTTCTCAAGTTTACTCACGCTTTCCATCACACAAACCCTTCCCTCCCCGGAGTCCCACCTTTCTTGGTCCTAACGGCTCGCCAACCGCCCACGTTTCTCACAATTCCACATGCATTCACTCTCAAGTCTCACCCCACCCCTCCCCTCTTTATATCCCCTTCCCTCTCCACCTCCCCACCTTGCAAAAATGTACTCCATCCACGACCACATGCTCCACTGCCCCCCACTGCCTTCAGTGGACCGCAACTGGAAGTCCGCCACCGAGCTTGCCCCCAACTGCCCTCGCTGCGCCTCCTCCAACACCAAGTTCTGCTACTACAACAACTACAGCCTGTCTCAGCCCAGGTACTTCTGTAAGGGATGCCGAAGGTACTGGACCAAAGGCGGTTCTCTCAGGAATGTCCCTGTCGGCGGCGGTTGTCGCAGGAACCGCCGCACCAAGTCCGCTAGGCTGTTGCAAAGCAATCGGAAGAGCTTTAGTAGTTTAGATACGAACCATAGTTCTCCTCAATCCGACTCAATGAGTGAACTCGCTTCCTCCAACGGATCATCAGATATTGATTTAGCAGCTGTTTTTGCCAAATTCTTGAATAATGATAATCAAAACACAAGCTTTTCGCCAGATTTCGTCAGTCAAGAATCGGCTCCGACGGACGAGACTAATTCGAATTCTTTGAAATCCAACGGCGGCCCGTCCGATTCGATCCAGAAAATACCGCAATCACTTCTGACGCCATCGCAAGAGCAGACCAGTATTCAGGAGTTCTGGGAAACGGACATGAATGTCTTGGGATTGCAGAATTTGTTAAACGATGATGCCGTACAAGATGCTCTGTGGCCCGATACCGCTACAATGACGACGGCGAACCTTTCGTGGCAACCGGTAATGCAAATGCAAGAGTTGGATTCCTTTGCCGCCGATCATGATCTGCTAAAGAATTTTTCCACGAACTTAGTGACTGATATTTGGAGTACTCCCTTGGATCCTACAAGTTTCGAGATTTTTTCTAAACCTTGATGTAGAATTTAATTAGTTATATTACTTGTTTTCGTTTGTTTCTTTCTTAAATCTTCTTCTCATTTCTTAAAGTGAAGAATGGAGAGGAGATAATACTTTCTTATAAATTCATGAAAGTGAAAATATCACTACTAAATAATTTAGTTATAATTTTTTTTAATGAAAATAAGATATTTTAAGGTTTAGTAGTATTAATGCAAATAAAATAGATTAAAGTTTTACATTCAAAATCTAGTTTAGATCCATATTAATTGATTCTAAATGTATTTAATTAATAAAGCTCGAATTAAAATATGTTTTATATTGGTACCGATGAAGGATTAATTAATACTAATATCCTTTCTTTTAGACGTAGTGATGCATGGAATTATACCTTGCTTGTGATTCTTAGACTTCCATTCAAAACTACATCATGAGCTTGGCTCATATATGTAAGCAATTTCAATTCTTTATAATGAATAGTAAATTAAGTTTAAGTTTTAAGTTTATACTTAGGTTTGGGTTAATCAATTGAATTCAAGGTCGAATTTTTTGAGCTCAGAAATCAAAATTAAAAATTAATTGTACAGCAAACCTAATTTTCAAGGCGGATCAGCTCCTTTCCAATGTTTTGAATAAATTTTTTTGCCATAGAGATATGGGATATGGGGGGACTAATTTGGAATGCAACAACCGACCACCACCATCATCGGGTGACGAAGACAACATTCTCCACCACTGGATGAGGATTATGTACGTAGATGGAAGCACAATAGCATGTGCAAGTGACGTACAAGAGTGCATACATGCCCGTCTCGGGAAAAAATACGGTTTGGTGGATTAATGGTTTTGGTGGTGGGAGTGATTTGCGTCCACTGGGTGCGTAGGATATGGTGTGTATTTTTGGATCGAAAGTTGGAAAATTGAAATGAATCCATCAAGGTGATCCATATCAATTATATATCAACGACTCCATCACATGCTCTTTGTCGAATTTATGTTAAGTCATAATAATTGCAAACAATCTCAACCACATATATGAATTGTCAAGAACTTTTTAAAATTAAAAATCTAAAATGAAACTTTACGCCCAAATATTGTTTAGGGATATCTTCAACTCCTATGTGCACAGACATATAAATATATAGATTATTAATTAATTAAAGAGAATATTAATCTGAGTTGTGTATATTTTTTTTTAAGTTCTTTTCCCTTTTTTTTTTTTTAATTTTACTTTAGTTGAAATATTTGTAATACATGCAATTAGATACTATATTTTATAAAAAAAAAATTTCTATATATACAATGAGATTAGTATTTTAAAAGTTAGATTACGCTTTTAATATGCAGTTTGATATATGAAATTATTGAAATATTCTTAATAAAATTACATATGAAATAGTTTTATTTAAAAAAATTTGATAAATTTAAAGATCGAATTATACTTTTAACGAAAAAAAGTCAGATAGTTTTTTTAATGTATGCAAATAGCTGCTTCACACAATCCTTTAATTAAAAAAAAAAAAGGCTTAATTAGGAGTATATATAATCATTTCTTAATTACCATAGGGGAAATCAATTGATCTGCTAAGGGTATGCTAACGCTTTTTGTAAGCACCAAGCATGTCTAGAAGCTTCACAAGCCCGCCGTTGGGTTTTGCCAGCAACCCTGAAAATCAACCCATAATGCAATTTTACCAATCTTTAAGTTTTCACCTCTTATTTTCAGTTTGTACTGATGTCTGTATAGAAAAATCTAAATGTTAATTATAATTACCATCTGCTGCAACAGGGAAGCTGTCAAAAAAAGTGCTTGTTGCCTTCAACCCTTTCTACAATGTAACAAAAAAAAGAAAAATCGATCAATCCAATTTGAGTGCTTACAAATGCATGAAGAACGAATCTCCCAAGTTTTGCATGCAAAGAGTTATAGTCAAAAACCATTTCAGTGAATAATCTAAGCTGTCAGGTGAGGGTTCAAGAATTGTAGTGAGCTAGTGATGAAATTCATTTTTTTGTAAGGAAAAAGGATTTGAGCATCCGACTATATACTTGATCAATGATTCTGATATCATGTCAAGAACCATTTCACCAATAGCTTAAGTGTCAAACAAATAATTAAGCTAATCCCTTATTAAATAAGAACAGGATACATATGGGTCCATAACTATTGAAGTTTTTCTTACCAGTATAAAATCTCCAGGTTTTATAGGAAATTCTTGGACTCCAGTGATTTTCCTGTACACATTAATCAATGGTATTTCTTTTCCTTGTAAAGAAAGAAACTTTGATCCAAAGATGGAAAGGAACTAGTAAATGCAGATGATATGGGAATTCATATAGTACCTGACGAAGAGCTTCCCATCAACTAGTTGGCATTCAAAGGAATTGTGACAATATGTAAACGGCAGCTCCGTAGCCTTCCATTCTGTAAGAATTGGCAACTAAGATATATATGCCTAATGCTGAACAAAACTAAAAGGCTCGTAAAGTTCTTGAATTTAGTACCTAGATGCCAATTTATAGTTGCAGTAAGATTTTCCCCTTTCATAGAACCATCTATGACAAAATGTACATTTGGTCCCATTGCATCCATAACTTGGCGCAGGAAGTTTATGATACTCTGAAAGATAAACGTACCATTATCAAAGAATTGATTCATGTTGAGAAAGAAGAGTCAAGATTGTGGAGAGATGAAGAAATTAAGACCTGTTTTCCACCAACGGGAATGTAAAATATGAGGTCCTGAAATGTACAGTCATTTGAAAGAATTTGGTCTAGCTTCTTGGTGTCCTTGGCATTGATGGCATTGTAGAACTCCTGAGTGAGGTTCAACACTGAATTAGGCATCATCACTGGCCCTTCAGGGGAAGTTGGACTGGCGCCATCGGCACTGCACCAAACCCTCCATTGATCCTCCTTGCTCTTTCTGTAACAACTTGCAAGGTTCTTCTTTGAGCCTCCTGATGTTTGTGACAATTTAGGAATAGAGTTTTTGAAATGGGTTGCATTGCCTGATTGAAGAATGGACAATGGCTTGGAGACTCTGTTTAGGCCCTGGCAGAGTCCTAGTGTTCCTACAGAACATTGAGCAGAAGCCATGAGAGGGAGGGCATGGAGGAGCAAATTAACCTTAGCCGCATCTTATAATGTCTTGAAAACTAAAATGGGTCTATGTTCAATATCCCAATCTTGTCAATCAGGTAAAGAATCGAATACTTTTCTTTTTCTTCCGGGCAAGGCAAAAATATTTCGATGGAGAAGGAATGAAGAGAAATTAATTAGAATATGGTGTGTCTGGTATAATGGGAATATTTAGTTTTATATATTATATTTATATAAAGAATATTATTTTACAATCTAAATTATATTGGACTATAAAATAGAAATTATTAAATAAGAGAAGAACTTTCAATAGTAAGGGACTCAACGCTCATCCAGTAGTATAGTGTTAAACAATTCAATATAGTTTATATTGCATAACACATTTTCTATATATATATATGAGTGTCCTATTTACAATTTAAACTGTAAAACAAGAATCATTAGATATTAGGGTTCACTTTCATTTAATAATTATAATTGTGCAACAATTTGCAATGCACAATTCTTTTCTCTCTCTATTTATATATACGAGATTAGTGTTTGTCCGTCTTACCTTTAAACAATTTAGAGAAAAAAAAAATAAAAATCATCTTAATGCATGCTTTAAAAATATAGTAGTTTAGTCTTTTTCAATAAAAATTTATTAAAATGACATAATTTTAAGATAATTTTTTTCTTAATCTTTAAAAGATAAGGTTGATAAGCACTTTTCCTTGTGTATATATATATATATATAGAAAAAATAAAGGAAGGAGCAGGAACCAAGGAACAAATGTTATGATGGGCTCTTGTTTCTGTGAAGTAGGCTTGGGCCGCTTGGGCCGCCTGGGCCACTTGACAGGAGAGGGGGATAGAAACCAAGTCTAGATTGGTGATGCACCTTTCAAGCCAGATGGGCTGATAGCTCAGGTGCCAATAGAAGTGCTAAATTGTACAAGAAACTTGTGCTTGATCCCATTTCAGTTTTTAAGGTGAAGAGACTCTTAGCAAAGCAAGTACCAATCATATTCTAAGTGCTTGCTCTGAAAATATGCCATGCCAACGGCCTGCATGCACTACAGCTTCCAACTCTGATCCCATTTTTGCTGAATTATTATCATGTCAGTTTGCAAGTGCGGGGAACCTTTGCAGCATGGAGAATAAGAAGCCTGACGTAGGTGTACTTCAGCCAATGCAAAAAACAAAAGGCTGCCACCATGCATGCGCATTGCCAACTTCATTGTCTCATTCTTTTCTTCTTTTTAACTTTTTCCTGTTTGATTTAGCCATTAAGACATTGATAAATGATAATTACTTGTTGAGTGACGTGCATTTCCATGGTGCTTGTTTTTTCAATTACCAAGCATGGCTAAACGATCTTATTCACATTTGGTCCTAGTGCCTACGTCGTCGGGCCAATCATGGACCAAGAAATCATTAATGGCGATGTCGGCGGCGGTATTCAAGGAATGCAAATTCCCTCTAAGCTTTTTTAATTTTGATGAGTATTTTTTGAAATTTAATAAGTATTTAACGAAATAAAAATAGTTAAATTTTATATAACAATAGTTACTACCTATTAAAAATTAAATATCAATTGTATGGGCTACCCTTGGTAGCTAAATATAACAAGCCAAAACTAAATGATTAATTTTTTTAGGGATTTCATTTTCCTTAAGATAACAAAATATAATGTAATCATTATTTTCCCCAAATCTATTCCAATTTCTAAAATGGGCCATTGGGTATCGTTAGCAGTTGATCGGACTTGTTCCCTCCATCTTTTTTAATTGAACAATTCTCGGGCTCCCACCCCAATGAAAAGTCATTTTATTTCTCCTCTTCATTTGCTTGTTTTTTTCCTCAATTCTAAAATTCCTTCCAATTGTCTATTGTCCTCTAAGGGGGGACCGGCTTTGATTTATTGCCACAAATTGTCAATTAGATTTAATTTTTTTTCCCCAAATTTTTTATTGCTGAAAAAGATTATTTAGTTCAATTATTATGTTTTACATTATAAAATAATTCATCTACAAAACACATAAAGGACTCACATAAAGAGTTCATTATACGCATTTGAATGTTAGGTTATATCATAGAGGATAACCTATAACCCCTTCCTTTGGTCTCATGTAAAGGGATTTAGGTTTTTATAGTTTTTGTTGCTTTTCTTTGCCCAATGAAATTTCTTCTTGACTCTGCTAATTATGCTAACTACACTTACCTGGTCTCTTGCTAAGGATATTACACCTCACTTGCAATCTTGTATTACAATTCTGTCCAAAGGAATGTCTGTCGTTGGACGGGATAGCTGATACTAGAATCCAATAAATCTGTTGCATTAAACAGGCACTGTAAATTTGGACACCGTCACATATCAACGAAGCCTTGCCCTAGGCGAAGGAAATGTACAATTTTGATTTTTTTCATGGATTGATTGATACGTACATGAATTTTATATGGTACCTGTAAATGTAATACGAATAAAATGTTGGACCCCGCCTCATCATTAATAAAGTTCTTCCACAAGAAAAATGTGGGTGCAAGTGCCCACCAATTTAATTGATGTTTGAATTTTTTTT